CTACAGACTCGCATAATTACTTGTTATATTCGTCTTCGCATCCATCTCACGTTAAGAATTCCATTCCTTTTTCTCAGTTTCTAAGACTTCGTCGTTTATGTAGTGATGACTCTGATTTCCACCACAAATCAGAGTCAATGTGCCAGTTTTTCGATAAACGTGGTTACCCTGTTTCTGTCGTTCAAGCGGGTTACCACCGCGCCCAACTTATTGATCGACATTCAGCACTACAAACGTCGCATAAGGAAGATTCCGACCGCATTCCATTCACTCTCACGTTTCACCCTCACAACCACTCAGTTAAATCCATCATTCTTAAAAACTTTAAATTACTTCAAAACGATCCAGAGACAAGCACTATCTTTTCGCAGCCTCCGCTCATTTCATTCAAACGCGACAAAAACATAGGCAATTTTTTGGTCAGAAGTTCTTTTCAGACTAATGACCAACCAGGCACTTTTAAATGCGCTCGTGCACGATGCAAAACGTGTCCTTTCATTCACAACACTGATAAAATATCGGGACCTAAACGATCCATTAAGATCACCGATCACTTCACGTGCACCTCCGCCAATGTAATCTATTGCATAACTTGCACTTATTGCAAAAAGATATACATCGGCGAAACAGGCAGAAGACTAGGTGACCGATTCCGAGAACACCTTCGAGACGTGGAAAGGAATGACAAGGACACATCGAAACCAGTCGCTAGACATTTTAATTTACCTAATCATTCTAAGCAACATATGGCAATCTGCGGTCTTTCCTTACACTTAGGTAGCACGGAAAGCCGTAAAACTCTTGAACAAAAGCTCATCTTTCAAACCGGCAGTCTAAATCCCACAGGGATCAACGAACGCTTTTCATTCCACTAATTTATTCGTGTTTTTCTCGTTGCCATGTTCCCACCAATAACGTAGCTCCATTTTCTGCCTTTAAAAGCACACACAACCCACAATTCCTCTATTCGCTCCGACGAAGGGCTAACGCTCGAAACGTCAGCTTTTGTAATCGTTACGGTGGCCAATTTACCATTTCAACTTTGTTGATATATCCAAATTATTTCGTTACCCCCATCGACGCAGCCCCAAACAGTTTCTTTAGAAACTATCAGCCTTTTATCAACTTTTGGCAAAGTTGGTGAAATAGATGATGAAAGCTGATGATAGTATCTGGACTTGTATATGGCTTAACTCACCATAGAATTCTCCGTGGCTCAGTGTTAGAGGATCGCGGGCCCGGATCTCATTTAGGTCTGAGGTTCAATGGAGACTCGGAAATTTTTCCTTTGTCCCTCGATAGTGACAGGACGAAAAACATCTTTCTTTATTTCGTTACCAAGCTCAAACCTCACCGTTTTACCTATTGTATCATATGGCTGTTTGTATTTATAGCATTGTGCTGTTTTTGATCATGTTCGTTTGCCAGCATCTGTGGCCTGCGGAACCAAAAGGATCTGGTGGTAAGAGTTACACGGCATATGCTGTTCATTTTTGTGACTACAATTCCTAAAGCCTACAAAACAGGGTTTACCCACTCGCTTCGCGATTACATTTGCTCGCCCAAAACAATGCAGAAAAATGACGCCTGTTCTGCAAGCTCTCTCTCGCCAGCGGTAGCAATAAATCATCACCGACGGGCATGCGCGGGGATCAATAATATTCTTGCTGGGTGCGCGCCGATTTCCCGCGAAAATTGTCAAAGGAAAACATAAGGGCTGTCTCGTAAAATACGCAAAAAAAAAAAAAAGAAACATTCCTTGAAATCTGCAAATGGAAACAAAAGTAAGGAAAAGGGAAACTCGAGACTTTTCGAGCACAAAGCTTATTCAAGTATGCGTATCCTGTTGATTCACCATTCTATTTTAAACTTTACCAAAAAGGTTGAACCGGCTTTGAAAACACCGTGACTTGGTGTGGCTGTTTGTTGGCTCCGACAGCCTGAAAACACGCCATGTAGTCAATACAGCATTCGTTCATGCGCAGACGTTTAATTGCTATGTTCGCCCGGAACCTCCGCGGTAGCTCGTCGTTTCGCGCAGCAGTAACTGCTCTTTTTTTTTTTTCTTCAACACTCGATCGAAATACGCTCAAGCAGTACTCAATGACTGAATTAGTTTGTGTTATTTTACTCACAGGTGCTGAGCCGACCACACCAGGGGGTCGCGCCAGTTTCTCATTGCGCTGGGTCTATTCTGACAGAATGTATCCTGTTATGAAGAGTTTATTTAAAATGGGCCTCATAATGTTTTACTTCTACCTCTGTGACAGGTTAGTGTCTTGGGGCGCTTTCCATTCAGTTATAAGGTCTAACCAAAACGGAAAGAACTGAGGTTTTGCCGGTATAAATATAAGGCAAAAGTGAACTTTTTGTGATTCTGAGAACGTAAGTCCTCTCTTTGAGAATGTTTTTCTTTTTTGGCCATTGTGATTGCTGTTTTTTCTTTTGGGCTCATGACAGTCTGTTGAGGAGCGCTAAATAGTTTTTGATGCATAACCAAACCGGACTGACACTTCAAGTCACAAAAAAGAAATAACTGAGGAGAACGTGCTACCTTTGCTTTGACATCTGCAAATGATTGGACATTCTAGTCTTCTCAGATAAGGACGAAAAACCGTCTCCGTGCCCCGTCTCCCGCATTTTTTCTGTACTGGTTAGCAGGGAACGTTTAAGAACCCACGCACTTCTTGTNTGGTTAATCAACAGTGCGTAGTGTACCAATTTAAATGTAACCTGTGCGATACAGGGAGCTATGTTGGTTACACACGTGGGCATTTATATGCCCGCGTGGATAGCCATAAGAGTACGTCATCTTCAGTACGCAAGCACTACGACAACGACCACGCAGGTGCTGTCCCTGAGGACCTTCTTAGCTGTTTCAAAGTTCTCAAGAAGTGCATGAACAAATTCGATTGTCTTGTCAACGAGATGCTTTACATCAAACAATTAACACCGAGTTTGAACTTGCAAACGGATTCTATCCGTGCTAAAGTATTTGTGTAGCTACCTCCCCTATGCAAATTAGTTGTAACTCTTGAACTCGCTTTTGTTAATTTATTTTCATTTGTACCCTTGATAATGGCGTCATGAAGTCGCCGAAACGTCGGGATTTTATATCGTTCGTTTTTACCTGTGTATTACTAATTCTTTGTTAATATTATTATTATTATTATTATTATTATTATTATTATTATTAGTGATAACTGTCCCGTCCAGTGCTCAGCTCAATTTTTTTTTAATGCGGACACAAATCTATGTTGTTCATTTGAAAATTGAATGTTTTTCCGTTGAATCTACAGGACAAACCTTTTTTTCAAAGAACAGAAGGAGTACAGTCATTTGGTGTTTATCTTGGTGCTGCTTGTTTTCTTAGCACTTGGTGCATGGACCTGGACACCAGCTCAACAGGTTTGTTTTGTGATTAAAATGTCACATCTCTTTTCAATTTCTAAAGATACATTATCCAGCGAGTAGATATTGAGAATAGTTATACGGATCAGCTGGAAGGTGTTGACGTGATGTTAGACCGAATTCTCTTCACCAATTGCTGAAGAAATGAATACCCGGACAAGGGAGAATTATTAATTAAATCACAACATTTTCAGGCTATGTATGATCATTTACGCTCAGTAATTTGCTCGCCAAATTTGTTTTTACAGACTGTTTTTTTAAACAGAGATCAGACAAATGAGTGGAGGGGGTGGATGCAATTGATCATACTTTTGTATCATTACATTGGGGCAAGCAAGGTAAATAGTAAAGCTCGGTAATGATTTAGTTGATAGATACACACTATTTTTTTTCTGAAATGGACGAAGAACAAAAAGGTGCCAAATGAATGAATGAATGAATGAATGAATGAATAAAAAAATGAATGAATGAAAAAATGAATGAATGAAAAAATGAATGAATGAAAAAATGAATGAATGAATGAATGAAACGTCTTTATTTCGCTCGTTAAAATACATAAAAAACGTTACTGGGAGTAAAGGTATATAGATCATTTACAATAATTATATAAAATCAAATAAAACATAGCCAAGTTGTATTTAAACCTTATTCTATTAAAATAACTATTCTTAAAACGTTCTGTATTAATCCGCACCTATCGCCACGTGTATCGCGCGCATACACTCGTGTCTCCCGCCCTGCTACGAGGTGCTGTCTCTCTTCGTATGCATGCGTGCCTCGCGTTCTACGTTAATGTCTAAGGTGCGAGGTGACGTCCCCGTCGCCACGCGTCTCTCGCACGCGTATGCGTGTCTCGCGCTCTACTATAAGGTGGAATTTGACGTGCCTGTCGCCATGCCTGTCTCTCTTTCCGCATGTGTTCTAGTCCCTCTTCACTGGGTTCGAGCGTCCCTTTTAAACCCCCGCGAATAGGGTCGAATTTAAGGATGCGGGATACCGGATATTCGGGAGACCGGATATTCGGGATGTGGATAAACAGGGTAATTCTCGCTCCATAGAAATTGGAGTTGTCTTCCACCACGTACGAAAATTACGTTCAACGCGAGAGAAACTGCAAAATATCAATTTGGTAAGCTAGAGAAACAGCAAAATGCCAAGAATCAACCCAACACAAGCGAATATGGGTGTGGATGTAGGAGATTGACCCTTATTGCAAACAAACACAAGGAAAATGTTAGCTAAGTTCATTGTAACGTCAATGTCAGTATTGTAGCGGATTACCGCATCACTTTCATTTACCTTTAATTTCCCTTCATTCTAACTACAGGTGCTTCCAATTTACGTCTTTATAAGACTTCTCGTAGCTTCGTATCTTTTCCTTTCTGGCTATGGGCATTTCTCGTACTTTTGGAATAAAGGAGATTTTGGCCTGTACCGGTTTTGTCAGGTAATAATTTACGTTAAAACGTTACAAAGAAGAAATACTGAATTCCCCCTGAGAAGTGGAACGCCAGTTATCGATTTCGCGCACGGTTGCTTTACCAACTGAGCTCCAGAGAACTCATGCGTGTGGTCATTGAACCATTTTATTCCTAGTAGTGACCAAAGCATTCTTTCAATTACGTCATTAATACAACATCAAACAAGCAATTAAAAGTAATACAGAATAAATATCTTAGATTTTTTTTAAATATATACATATATATATTGTGATTTGAGCACTNGCAGTTTTTCGAAGTAGATAGTGTTTCTTGAATTTTCATTTTTCCACAAAAATATTTTCACCAGCTAGCCTCGAATTGGTGTACTCGACCCAGGTTTCTCGCCTCACGTCCACGCGCGGGTTAGTATATCAGACATGTTTAGCCTACACCGTAATGGTTTGTTTGATCTCGTTTCAGGTGATCACTCGCATGAATATTCTTGTAGCTGTTCTCTGTTTAATTATGGGTCGCCCCTATCAGTTCTATTACTTTGTTCCACTAGTAACCTTTTGGTTTGGAGTAGTTTATGCTGTGATGGCTTTGTGGCCCAGAGTCACTGTTGTTCATGTCAAAGGTGAGAACGATATCTTCTGGTCAGAGTCTCTCTGTAATGATTCTCCTCTCCTCTTTAAATTGGTATCAATCCTTTTTGGCACTAGCCTACAGAGCAGGTAGTGTCTTGGTGAAAGTTTAGCTGCCATCTTTGATTTTTACAGCAGCGGAAGGCTGGGGAGAGAAAAAAATTATACCAAGGGGGTGGGCAACGGTTAAGTGGAAGGAGAGGGGACAAACACGGCCGGTCGAATAAACGATTGCAAGTTTGTAACGTTAACACGCCCTAAAGAGACACTTGCACAACGGGCCGCTCTTTCTCTGCCACATCTCAACCTCGATTCTCCTTTCTGTTTGCCATAGGGTTCGTAGAAAGATAATTCTGGGAATTTTATGTTTAATCAAACAATATCCCTCATTTTATCTTTTCATCGTGTCACGGGTCTTGTCGAAAATCTGCTCGCTTTACTTAAGAGTGACTGGCATCTAATTTCTCCTTACAATATCACCCCTGAATCAAGAATTAAGGTCAGGAGAATAAAGGAAATGATCACCAACGAAAGAAGCTCTTGATTGTTAAACAAATTCTCCTTGTCAATGCCATTGGAAATGTATAGAGAACAGTGTGAAGTAGATACACATTGATCTCAGGTTCTTAAGGGTTAATCAGTAAGAATTTGCTATCAAGATGGAGTTCCGTGTTTCAGTTCAGTTAATGCTTTTGGTAATGTCTTGATTTTGAGATATTTTTTAGTTCTGCTGGTTACGTTTATGTTAAACGCCAGCAATTTTCTCGGCAGATAAGCAGAAGCATTATGTTGTTATATTGGTCAAGTTTCTGTTCCTGTTTGGTGCTATTTCTATGATCTGGAGTTCACCAGTAAGTCAACTGACTGCGGTACACCCACACTGAATTCTCCTTATCATTTTAAGCACGATATAACTGTAAAGGCCATGAGATTATGCGCTGAGCAATTCGAAGTCTCGACAAGCCCTCCCCCACCCGGGAAACTCACGGGCAACTGAATGTCCTCTGTACCCGCGGGGGTGAGGAATTCGAAATTGCCTGGGCTGGGTAGTGAATTCGAAGCAGAACTGTCAAGTGTTTTCAACAGAATATGCGTGTTTTATCTCTTAATATGGAGAAGTTTAACGGTAAAGAGGTCACTTTTGCAAGCAGATAGCTCAGAAGGAAAGATCTACCAGAAACTCACGGTCGCTGGTCTCGCCTTTTACGGGGGGGGGGGGGGAGTGTTGAAGCGTTTTACCATTTGTCTACAGCGGGAGAAAAAGTAACACCGATCCAAGGCACAAAGAAAAATATGATCAGTCCAAAAGGCGAGAAAAACGCAAAAGCGTGGGAACAATCGCAGTCGCTTCCAAGCGCGGGAAAAGTGTAACCCGTCCCAAACGAGGGAGGAAGCGCAACACCGGCCAAGCGCGGGAAAACGGTAGCTTCTACTCAGGGCCGAGAGATTTTACAGATGAAGATGCCACTCCCTCAGGCAGGGGTTTGAATGAAAGCCAGCGCATTATTGGAACTACTGCTACCATCGCCCTTCGTTTTACTGACGAACACGTGGAACAGGCTACTTTCGACACTCAGTTGAATTTTTGCTCCAATAGGCTATTTTACGGCATTCATGTCCAACATCATGTGAATGACTTCTTTTTTTACCTCCTAGACATTATGCCAATGGATATTTTCTCAATGGGCCATTAAAGAATTGTTCATTGATGAGAATGATAGTGTTCGCGAGTGGTGGTTTCGGTCATGGCTGGATAGATATGTGAGTAAAAAACTCTTTGTTGGATTCTATGTAACTTACGAGAATTCTACGAATTGAGATGAAGGATGAACGGAAACGTCTTCGGAGTAATTCGCTCTCGAACCGGTCATAGTAGGAATGGAAGACTTATCGATTACTATGGAAGATTCCGCGAAACCTAGTAGTGTCAAATGAATTCACTTGTCATGCATTTGTTTTCTCTGAGAAGATTATGAATACGGATAAGTAGATCTCGGTTCCTCATGAAGAATTGACCTAAGCTTTTCACGTGATTTTTCGAGACTGTATATTCATATCCTTTTTCTAACGCCGGGGATTTAACCAGAGCAGGGAAATTCAGTTTAGCAAGAAATGGTTGGAGGTTTCACGCTAGATCTTCGCGGGCCCATAGAACAAACACCTTTTACTGAATGTGGTATTACATTTGGCAAGAGGCTTTCATAAAGAAGTTTGCCGTCACCAGAATTTAGTACTCGCTAAAATTATGTTAATGATATATTAACTGCATAGAGTAATCTGCTTCCTTGTGAGAAATAGGCTGAGTAGAGTTGTGAAAGTATCTAGGTTAAGACGAAGGGCTAACGCTCGAAGGGCTAACGACGAAGGCCGGGCTAACGCTCCGACGAAGGGCTAACGCTCGAAACGTCAGCTTTTATAATCGTAACGGTGGCCAATTTACCATTTCAACTTTGTTGATATACTCAAATTATTTCGTTACCCCAACCGAAGCAGCCCCAAACAGTTTCTTTAGAAACTATCAGCCTTTATTTAGGTTAAGCTAAGGTTAGGGTGATTGCAGAATTAATCATTTCCCTTTATTCCTTCCAGGCTACGCTTTTTGGAATGGTAGTAGCATTTCTTTACTGCTCAGGTAAATATCTTAAAATGTTCGACGATAACAACAAGAGAACTCTCTTCTCCAGACCTGTTGGCATTTTCTGTCTGGTCTTTGCTGTTGTGGCGATAATGGTAAGATGAACATGTGTCCGTTTCGTGTTTTCAGTCGCAGTAACTGACTAACCAAAAGTAACCGCTGAAAGGGGAGTAAAGGCCTCCTAATTTGTGAAAATAAATTGTGTGAAACTCGGCGGGTTAAGATGTACCATTTGTCTAAAGCGAGAGAGAAAGTAAAACTGATCGAAAGCTCAAAGTAAAATATGATCCGTACAAAAAGGCGGGAAATAAGCACCATCGCGCAAAAGCGCGGGAACAGTCGTAGTCGCTTCCAAGCGCGGGAACAGTGTAATCCGTCCCAAATGCAGGAAGAAGTACAACACCGGCCAACCGCGGGAAAACGGTAGCTTCTACACAGGGCCGAGACATTGTACTCGTGTAGTTGCTAATACCCCACCGGTTGCAGGCGGTCTACCGTTGCCCGTAAAGCCTCTTACCGCGGTCTGTTGAGCCTGCAAGCAGACTCTCGTGTTTGGGTTTCACCTCATTTAAACTCCTTCCCAGGAGAACTTGCTCTCCTTGCGAAGTATCTTTGCCTATCCAGAAAAGGAGCACTTCTTTAGCTTTTTCTTCCCTTCCCCCCTCCCCGTTGCCTTGTCACTTGTCCCAGATCTTCCACCCGTCCAATATGGTGACCGAGTATTCGCCTCGCTGAATCTCGAGCTCGCGCTTGAAAACACAAACTACCGCCTGCAAGCAGGCTAGAGACACTTCATCTTTAGGGGCCTGACGCTCATGGGTTCCTATATGAAACGGGAATACGTTCAGGCTTGATGAACCGTTGTGAACAGCAGGTTATCCTTAGTTATGGAATGCTCGTTTAGTTATTGAAAGCGGGCTTTTTTTTCTCAGATCTTTTAGCTAACTTGTGATGCATGGAACTTATTGAGATTTGAGCGTGAAGTAATTAACCACCTTTTGGTTGCAGGTGTATATTATTCAGGCATTCTCCTGCTCTTCTAAAGTTTCATGCAATCAGACTCATTCGACAGTATCATTTATACCTGTGAGTACAGATAATTTTTCCTTGTAATTCTCCTTTTGTTAACCTTATATTTCACCCCAAACTCATCGGCGTAGCAAGCGTTTCTGTGCTGGAAAAATGAAACATTTCTATGAGTGTCTTACAGTGCCTATGACACCAATTTTTTTTTTTTTTTTTTTGCGTTTTCTGGTTGATAGTCTTATTCTAAGTCTGAGACGATAGACCTAAACGCTCAGCACGTTCTCCTCGACCATTTTTTTACGCATTGAAAGTACAATTTGGCGACCAAAAAGTGTCAAATAAATCGCGCGGCCAAAACGATCATGTTACATGGCTGTGACGTAGAAAACTGTGAAGACACGTTTGCAAATGTGGGACGTATTGCGTGGCCAGAGCGCTAAATGACGTTGGTTGCAGGAATAATACACATACACAGGGTATTTCTATATAGCACTTTCCAAAGGATGTAGCTGTAAGGCCAAAATTGACGCGTTTTGATCGTTGACATCGAGGAGATCTTACTCTTCAAAGCCGTTGGCCTTATGCTTCGTCCCGGCTTCGAAGACGGCTGTTTCGAACACATACCACTCGTCAAATTAGAGGAAGATGACCAATGAATTAAGCTAAAAGAACGGTGATGAATGGGCCAGTCAGTTCCCACACCGAACAACGGGACACTGGGAGCTGGTCATTACGTTGGTTTGTATTAAACCCGTGAAGTGACGAATCAAAGACTTACAATATATGAAAATCATAAATGTGCACTGCGGCATTAAGAAATGCATATGAAAGCGATCCTCGTAGTAATAAACACTACTAAAGTAGTAGTAATAATGAAAATAAGGCCTGAAAAAAATTCAGGCCTGTATAGGATTTGAACCCATGAGCTGCGATACCGGTGCCGGCAGTGCTCTAACAACTCAGCTAACAATCGAGTAAGGGACTTATTGCCAGTAAAAGTTTATACTCTTAACTGTTCTCTTTCATCCTCTCTCTCTCTCTCTCTTTTTTTTTCTTTTTTTTTTTTTTTCAGATTATAGCCTTCGTGTTCCTTAGAAATGTTCCCGGTCCGTTCCGGTCAAAATTCAGTAAATTTTTCTCCTGGGTTGGAAATATTTCTCTCGAGGTTAGTCACTCTGGTTATTATACATTTTTTGCTGTTTAAATTGCGACAGTAGAATTCATATTTGCTTCCATTGAAATTTCTTAATTTTCTTTTATAATCCGTTCATAGTCTTAAACTCTATTGAAAAATCAAAAAATGATGTGCTGTTGATAGTTAACGCAAACGTTTTCGCTTTGAGATACAGATCGCTGAAAACAGACGGCTAGAAGTTACATTTGGACATTTTGCTGTTCTTCGTTCGCTGTGTGTTGCTTTTGGGCAGGTCACCAAACTCCTTTATAGGATAAGTTTGCGATTAGTTGGAAAGGGGTCTGGCGCTGATAATGAAGGGCTATCGTCGTTAGTGCCAGACCCCAGCTCGTGGTGTACGGTGTACTGCCCAGGAGACCATGATCAACGTAGCTAACAATATATACTTTCTGGTTGTTTCAGCTGTTTATAGCACAGTACCATATCTGGCTTGCGCGTGACACTAAAGGAGTATTAGTGCTCATTCCAGACCAGCCCTTACTCAATGTCATTCTAACCACGTACGTGTTCGTCTGTATAAGCCACGAAATTCATAAAGTCTCCGGCGTGCTGGCAAATGCCCTCATCACAAAGGACATCAAAACAATGTTAAGAAGAGTGCTCTTTTTTATCTTCATGTTGATTATAATCTGGTGGCATAAGACTCGCCATGACCCGAAGCCAGTGTTGACGTGATGCACTGAATACCCGAATGTGGCGCACTGGCCACGAAAAGTGGCGAAATAACGACGACGCTTTCCGTCTTCCGTAGAGTTTGAGAACAATGCATCCAAAGATTGTCGTCAAACCCGCAAGCCTCCGATATTGTTTTCGGCCAAGCCGAAACATTACAAATAAAACTGGCTCCAGTTCTCGACATTGAGACTTTCGAGTTTGCTTACAGGAAAATGTTGAGAAACCACAAATTTGTCCTTTTTTTCATCTTCTTTTTTACGAAGTTTTATTGCACGACTTTAAAATTTTCCTTGAAGGGTCTTCTTTAAAGAAAAGAAAGGCCATTCAGAACAGTCAAACCGCGAAAGGAAACTTTCCTTATAGTATTTATTTTATTTTTGCGAAAAAAGCTTACCAGATAGTCTCGAGTCAATTTTCTGGCTCACATTCAGTAACGCTCACGTATGCTACTGCATCTACACGCGCGTGAAAGCGCGCGGAAGGCGTGTAGCTCCACGCGTTTAGTAGATAACTGCACTGAGGAGCAAAGCTCGTGAGGTCACAGAATGGTCTGGGATTATTAAAAATGTTATGTAGAATAAAAAATTTTACAAAGTAAGGTATTACATAAATTACACTCTTAGAGTATATTAAGTTACTAAAGAATTGTAATCTTGAAGTAGGGAAAGCAGGTTTTGAAGAAAGGAGCCTGGGAACAGTTTTCAATATTTCAAGACTGATAAAAATAGTTTTAAATGATATGATTATAAGTTAATTCTCAATAAATCCTCTTTTGAAGAAGCAAAAATGAAATTGAAAAATTTTGGCCCTTAGTTTTACTTAGCTCCTAACTTTTCCATAATATTACCACCAATAATTACTAGCATTTAATTTCTTCTTATAGCGTAACCCCTGAATCACACATCAAGGTCAAAAGAAGAATGAAAGTGTGCAAAAACTATAGAAACTCCTGATTGATAAGCAAATTCTCCTTGTCAGCTTCTCAGGAAATGTATAGAGAACAGTATGGGGAGAGTACCGTATGCATACTGATTTAAGGAAGAAAAGGGTTAAAGGAAAGTATCGACGTAACCAGGAGAATATTAAAGATAACTCGTGAAAAATCGTCAAGTGAGCAAAATGAACGTAAGATATACGTAATTTCCGTTCAAAGGCATTAGTGAAATGACGGTACCCGTGCGAAGCTTAAAAAAAAGTAAACAAAAAAAGCGTTTAATAAACAAAAGTTTTACTGTTAGATTCTACACCGTGAAGAAAATCACTCGCCACAATTTCCTAGCTGTTATTCCGGTGGAGACTACAAGCTCTCATTCTTTTTTGTTTCGGCTAGCGATTTTCCCTGTTTTGTAAAACAAACTTAAAAATACTACAGAAACTCAGGAGGGAGTTCCGATACGTGTCCACATGCTATTCTTGGGCGACTGCCGGTTTCGTCACTTCCGCCTCTTCAAACTGGCTGAAATTCCGTAATCTTTCTCTAAGGAAAGGACCGGTCAATGGAATAAATAAAGAACGATATAGAACGGTTTACGCTGGATGCAGATTCGCGTGTGTGGTCTGTGCTTACTCCAGGTATTCCTTCCATCGTCTCAAGTCCGAAACGAAAAAGGTAAGAGCTGGGAGCTCCACCCAGCCCCAGTAAAAAATTGCAAACATGGTGTCAATCCTTTTATCACAGGGCGGGCCCACACAAGCGGCGTGTCTGGTCGTTTGTTCGAAATATAAAGAAATGTATGGGAGATTATTGAAGAGTCGTAATATCGTAAACTTATATCAAGGAATGTCTATGTTAAGGCTCAAAATAAATGTAAACCTACCTTACTTTCTGTCTATTGTCGCTTCTGTGGTTCGAAATGGCGAACTTGAGCGATTTGGTAGATTTTGCGTTGACTGTTACTTTACTGTTACTGTAAAGTAACTGTCAACGCAAAATCTACCAAATCGCTCAAATTCGCCATTTAGAACCACAGAAACGACAGTGCACAACAAGTGAGGTAGGTTTACATTTATTCTAAGCTATAACATAGACATTCCTTATTAAAAGTTTACGATATTACGACTCTTCAATATTCTCCCGTACATTTCTTTCTATTTCGAACAAACGACCAGACACGCCGCTTGTGTGGGCCCCCTGTGCATTTATTACCCATTTTTCGTAGTCATGCAGAAGACATAGCTCACAAGACTCTTCAATTTTAATGGTCGAACCACCCTGCGTGCCCTGAATCGAGCTTCCCACGAATGAAATCGCAGAGTGGAAGTTTTCAGACAAAGATGTTTATTCAATTTAGAAATTAGTCTAAGTTCATTTGAAGCCCGTTGAAAAACCCTTTCTCCATTAGAACCCGAAACG